ACAGCCACCGCGGCCTCCACCACCAGGTAGGAATCGTCCAAGTAGCTGTATAGCTTCGCCTGTGGGTCCAAGCGGAGCAGCTCCCCGTAGAACCTGTCCAGGGCAACCCTGTGCGCCACGGAAATCGCAGCGGGCGACAAGGAAGAGGAGGAGGAGGATGCGGAGGAGGAGAAGGAGGAGGAGGAGGAGGAGGAGGAGGACGAGGCAGAGGAGGAGAGGAGATGAGAGGAAAAAGGAGAGGAGAGGAGAGGAAAGAGGAGAGGAGAGGGAGAGGTAGAGGAAGAGGGAGAGGGAGAGGGAGAGGGAGAGGAGGAGAAGGAGGAGGAGCAGGAATAATTGGAGGAGGAGGTGGAGGAGGAGGAGGAGGAGGAGGAGGACCAGGACCAGTGTAAACCCAAGAAACATCAACGATGTTGGAGTAAACCCTCCCTCCAAGTACCCTTTTCATAGGCCCCTACAACGGGTCATTTCCATTGAGGGAACTGCCTCGTTGGAAGAGACCTGTTTGAAGACGCTGCAGCATGCCAAAAAATGGTTTTCGGGATTCCAACGCCACGGATCAACCGGACTGTTGCGTGTTGACGATCCAGAATCGTACTAAAACGCCATTCCTGGGACATTAGCACAGCGAATCAACATTTTTGTTGCGCCCGCGTAATCCTAAATCCTATCAAACGTAGCACGTTGATGATGGGAATCCGTGAAACGTCTGCACATTTTTAAACCAAATGTGCACGGCGCTAAAGCGAGAGCCACATTTTGAAAGTGAGCCGCCCTCCCTCCGTGGAGCTCTTGCGAATTCTTAAAATCAATGTGCGCCGCCCTATGGCGAGAGCCACAGTTCGAAAACGACCCGCCCTCGATCCGTGAAGCTCTTGCATGTGTTTGAAACGAATGTGCGCCGCGCTAGGGCGAACATCAAATTTTGAAGACGACCCGCTCTCAATCCGTGAATCTGTTGTCATTTTTTACAACGAATGTGCGCCGCGCCAAGGCGAGAACCACATTTTGAAAACGACCCGCCCTCAATCCGTGAAGGCCTTGGACATTGTAAAAACGAATGTGCGCCGCGCTAATGCGAGAGCCACATTTTGAAAACCACCCGCCCTCCATCTGTGAAGCAGCTGCCATTTTTCAGCTTCAGAGACAAAAGCGGTTTGGAAGTTTCAGGCGAAACGCCCAGCCCACCCTAAAAATAGGCCTCGGTGTTTGACAGGGAAAAGGTTTTTTCAAGGAGAAGGAACGGAACAAGATGAGGAGGAGGAGGAGTAGGAGGAGGAGGAGGACCAGCGTAAACCCAAGAGGCATCAACGATGTTGGAATAAACCCTCCGTTCAAGCTCCCTCCTTATAGGATCCTACAACGTTTCATTTCCACTGGGGGAACTGCCTCTTTGGAAGACAACCGTCTGAGGACCCTGCAGCCTTCCAACACATTGTTCTCGTAATTCCAACGCCACGGGTCAACCGGACAGTTGCGTGTTGACGATCAGGAATCGTGCCAGAACGCCTTTCCTGGGACTTCAACACAGCGAATCAATGTAAGGGTTGCGCCCGCGTAATCCTGAATCTGTTCGAAACACCAATTCTGGTGCGTTGATGATGGGAACCCGCGAAACTTTCTTAAAACGATTGTGTGCGGCTTCGAGGCGAGAGCCACATTTTGAAAAGGAACCGCCTTCAATCCGTGAAACTCTTTTACAGTTTTAAAACGAATGTGCGCCGCGCTTAGGCGAGTGTCACATGTTGAAATCCACCCGCCCTCCATCTGTGAAACAGGTTGCCATTTTTGAGCTTCAGAGTCATGAGTGGTAAGGAAGTCTCAGGCGAAACGCCCGGCCCGCCCTAAAAACTGGCCCCGGGGTGCGACAGGGAAAAGTTGTTTATAAGGAAAAGGAACGGAGGAGGAGGAGGAGGAGTCGGAGGAGGATATGTTTTTGGAGGGCGAGGAGAAGCTAATGGGATTCCTTTCGAGATCTAGGATGATGTAGGAGCTGTCTAGAGGTTTCTTACGTGTTGCAATGAGGCACCAGGAGTTGGAGGAGGAGGAGGGGGAGGATGTGGTGGAAGCTCAGGCTTAGGCGGAGAGTGAGGAAACGCAGTTTACGTGATGATCAGGATCGCCAGTCACACTTGAGTCCGACAGCCCACCTTGTACGCCATGTTGCTCTGCACTGGTTAAGACATCTCTCACGCGAGACGAACAACACTATGTCTGGAATTCACTCAACCTTTCTGGAACATGTGTATTCCACCCGATTTCGTTGCGGCAGCCTGATGCCGCCTCCCCCACTCCCTCTCCCAGGTTGGTAAGCGTCTCAGGTCAGTCGGTGTCTGCTTTGGGTCTGCAGCTGTCTACAGCAATGGCCCGCCGCCACGCAGATGGGGCAGTAAGTGCACGCGATGCGTTGGACATGGCGGGGCCGTCAGTGAGCTGTCAGCAACTGTTCAACGTCTGTGTTTGTTTTTTGATTCCGCGCGTTGGGCAGTGTCGTCTGCCA